GGTCCGTTTTTGGTCCATTTTGAATGACTTCCACGTGCGAGCCGTGATAATCCCACAGACTGCCAAATCAAGTGAGAGCTTCAGCCTCTCATGGGTTTAATACATGTTGGAATGTGTTCACAATTCTGCTGTTGTTCAAATGAGAACTGCCACCTTTAGCCCTTTAGCTTGCAATGCCAGAACCCGACACTTTCACAGACACATAAGCAAACACACACCTTTGTCGCCGCCATCCTCAACATATCCAGTACCAGGGTAACGTTTGCTAAAGTGATTTAGCTTCTCACGTTAAATGTAGCATGGGGCGGATGAATGAAAGCCAATCGTGGCGTTATTAAGAAAAAAGCAGAAATGTGATTCTTTTTGACATTTGTTTGGACCGCGCCGTAGTCGCACCCGCTAATGCTACTGTTTTCATCTTATATATCGGGTTTTTAACTGGGAGGGGGATGCCCGTCTGCCTTAAAAGGTTTCCCCCATTTGCGGTGGTTCTTGCACAATATAGCGAATGCACGACGGAGGGATGGGGGATGGTGAGGTGGGTTCTTCACAGCTGAATAACTAGGTCAGTTTAAGATGATGACGCGTTTTATCTCTTCGGCTCGTCGCTGGCTTTTTTAGACGGCGACCACGATGGCGAGCGCCGATTGTTCCTTCTCCTTCGGTCCCTCTCTTCCTCAACCCTGCGTAACCTTTATACTCACACAGTGGCCTAAATTCAAGGGCACGTCAGTCAATGTGGAGTGCGAAATTATCAAGTGAAGGACAGTGAGAGAGAAACAGGATGTCCCGAGATTGTTAAATTATTGCATTATTAAAATGTCTGTGCACTGATGGATATCAGACAAAGCATGTTAGATTTTATTCTTTTTAAAAAATATATTTATTTATTTATTTGTTTATTTTGCTCCAATGTTGACAGTTCCCGCATTCCCGGGTGTTAATTTTCTGACAGTTATTTGTGTGTGTGTGTGTGTGTGTGTGTGTGTGTGTGTGTGTATACATATATCATTATTGTATTTTGTTTTGTACAAAATCTTTTTTTTTTTTTCAGTACAGCATACTGTATATATTTATTTTTACAAATTGTGAACTAACAAAATTATTCTATGAAATTCTGCTTTGGGGATTAACAATGTTCTTGGAACAACTTTCATTAATGCAGTAATTATTCATGAGGTGATTTCTTCATTCAACATTAGCAAGGCTGTTAGTTTGACAGATGGACATCTTGACATGTTTTATTTTATTTTTTTCTCAAGTGACAGTGGGTTCCTTTTGGTTTTACGGATCACACAATAGCTTGAGGATGATGTCGTGCCACCCACTAGCTTCCTAATCGCCTTTCCTCCGTTTTTCATCTTCAGCCTCCCATCTTCCTTTTGTGTGGGAAGTCAATGATGTGTCGCACTTGTAACGGTCATTCTACCGTGTGCAACATTGCTGCCCAGGGATGGCTATCGTGCTGCATTCAAGCAGCTTAAATCTATTTTCTGATCCGCTTTATCTTCACAAGGTTTGCGGGCAGTGCTCAGGACACCCTGAACCGGTTGCCAGCCAATCACAGGGCACACAGAGACGAACAACCGTTCGCGCTCACAATCACACCTAGGGACAATTTTGAGTGTTCGATCCAGCCTGCCATGCATGATTTTGGAATGTAGGAGGAAACAGAGTACCCGGAGAAAACCCACGCAGGCCCAACATGCAATCTCCACACAGGGAGGCCGGAGACGGCATCAAACCCTGCACCTCTGTACTGTGAGGTCGACGTGCTAACCACTGGACAACCGGGGGGCGCCCCACATATGCTACTAAAGGGTTTTTATTTATTTATTTGTTTATTTTTTTAATAAATCCTCAATACACACATTTGTGTATTGTTTGCTGAAGCCACTGAAACAGACGTGCGGTCCTAAAACAACACATCTGGCTATTACTTTGGTTTTGGTGCATTTATTGAGTGCTTGTAGACTGTTTGGGTTACCATAATGCAATTTGGTAAGATATGTCTTTCACAAGTCGAGCGACAAGAAAGTCTCAAGAACCCACGGCCCAAAATGACTCCGTAAGATCGCTCTTGGAGGACTAAGTGTTCCATGCTGGGTCCGTTTTTGGTCCATTTTGAATGACTTCCACGTGCGAGCCGTGATAATCCCACAGACTGCCAAATCAAGTGAGAGCTTCAGCCTCTCATGGGTTTAATACATGTTGGAATGTGTTCACAATTCTGCTGTTGTTCAAATGAGAACTGCCACCTTTAGCCCTTTAGCTTGCAATGCCAGAACCCGACACTTTCACAGACACATAAGCAAACACACACCTTTGTCGCCGCCATCCTCAACATATCCAGTACCAGGGTAACGTTTGCTAAAGTGATTTAGCTTCTCACGTTAAATGTAGCATGGGGCGGATGAATGAAAGCCAATCGTGGCGTTATTAAGAAAAAAGCAGAAATGTGATTCTTTTTGACATTTGTTTGGACCGCGCCGTAGTCGCACCCGCTAATGCTACTGTTTTCATCTTATATATCGGGTTTTTAACTGGGAGGGGGATGCCCGTCTGCCTTAAAAGGTTTCCCCCATTTGCGGTGGTTCTTGCACAATATAGCGAATGCACGACGGAGGGATGGGGGAGGGTGAGGTGGGTTCTTCACAGCTGAATAACTAGGTCAGTTTAAGATGATGACGCGTTTTATCTCTTCGGCTCGTCGCTGGCTTTTTTAGACGGCGACCACGATGGCGAGCGCCGATTGTTCCTTCTCCTTCGGTCCCTCTCTTCCTCAACCCTGCGTAACCTTTATACTCACACAGTGGCCTAAATTCAAGGGCACGTCAGTCAATGTGGAGTGCGAAATTATCAAGTGAAGGACAGTGAGAGAGAAACAGGATGTCCCGAGATTGTTAAATTATTGCATTATTAAAATGTCTGTGCACTGATGGATATCAGACAAAGCATGTTAGATTTTATTCTTTTTAAAAAAAATATTTATTTATTTATTTGTTTATTTTGCACCAATGTTGACAGTTCCCGCATTCCCGGGTGTTAATTTTCTGACAGTTATTTGTGTGTGTGTGTGTGTGTGTCTGTGCGTGTGTGTGTGTGTGTGTGTGTGTGTATACATATATCATTATTGTATATTGTTTTGTACAAAATCTTTTTTTTTTTTCAGTACAGCATACTGTATATATTTATTTTTACAAATTGTGAACTAACAAAATTATTCTATGAAATTCTGCTTTGGGGATTAACAATGTTCTTGGAACAACTTTCATTAATGCAGTAATTATTCATGAGGTGATTTCTTCATTCAACATTAGCAAGGCTGTTAGTTTGACAGATGGACATCTTGACATGTTTTATTTTATTTTTTTCTCAAGTGACAGTGGGTTCCTTTTGGTTTTACGGATCACACAATAGCTTGAGGATGATGTCGTGCCACCCACTAGCTTCCTAATCGCCTTTCCTCCGTTTTTCATCTTCAGCCTCCCATCTTCCTTTTGTGTGGGAAGTCAATGATGTGTCGCACTTGTAACGGTCATTCTACCGTGTGCAACATTGCTGCCCAGGGATGGCTATCGTGCTGCATTCAAGCAGCTTAAATCCATTAAAAAAAAAAAAAAAA